ACAGCACTAATATATATATATATATATATAACAAAAACACAACAAAATTACCAAAACTGTAACTAAAATAAAATTGAAACTTGAAAAAATTAAATCTAATTCAAAATATTAACAAAAAAAATTATACTGTATCAGTGATAGTAAAATAACACTGGTCCATAATTAGATTTCTCTGATATTGGGCGTTGTTTTGAATAATGTCTGTGTTTTCCCCCAGTCTCTGAAGGGTATCCATAATTTCCGAGCGTCTGGTGATTATGAGAATGACTGCAGCGCTCCGCTGACGCCGCTGTGCACGCAGACAGAGCAGCTGATCAAAGGTACGGCTGTCTGCATGTGCTTCAGTCAGTCAGTGTTTTACAGGATCTTCACATACGGTAATAATTAGAATCTCCATCAAACAGCATCTTTAGCATGATCATGTATTTTTCCTAATATAAAAGCTATAATTTATTTGTTATAATTAATTTTGTTTATTTTTTGTCATAATTAGTATTTTTTATATTTTAATTGATAATATTTATATTTTTATTGTGTTTTATAAAGTGTATAATTTACTGTGTATATATAGTAATAATAATAATTATTATTAATAATAATTACACATACATTTTTATTGATAATATTTATATTTTTATATTTTAATTGTATGTTTTTATAAAGATTATAATTACTGTGTATATATTATTATTAATAATAATAATATTAATACACACACATACACATTTTTATTGATAATATTTATATTTTTTATATTTTAATTGTATGTTTTTATAAAGATTATAATTACTGTGTATATATTATTATTAATAATAATAATATTAATCTCACACACACACATATATATAATTATACGTATTTATTTGTTTATAATGTATCATAATATAGTTTTTAATGTTTTAGTTTGAATTATTATAGTTCCTCAAGTTAATGTCTTGTCTTGGCCTCAATATAAAAGTTATAATTTATTTAAGTTATAATTAATTTTGTTTATTTTTTGTCATAATTAGTATTTTTTATATTTTTATTTTAATTGATAATATTTATATTTTTATAGTATGTTTTATAAAGTGTATAATTTACTGTGTATATATAGTAATAATAATTATTAATAATAATTACACATACGTGAGCCGAGCCGTTTATCATGACAGTAGATGAGAAGGATGAGTTATTAATGTGTGTTTGTGCTGCAGTGAATCTGGGCGGGCTGCTGCTGCAGGCTCTGCTGGAGTACTGGCCTCGCACTCACACCAACCCCACGGACGAGGAGACCGAACTCAATCATGGGAGCGGTAAACTCTCTAGAACTCATCCCTCAACTAACACACTGACTACTGGATGTTACAAGTCTCGGTCTCTTTTAAATACATTGATCTTGCCATGAAAATAGCCATAGATGCTGGTATAGCAAGTAAAAATAAAATAAATAAATAAAATGCTGATTAGAAAATTAAATATTATAAAATAAATCATATAAATATATAAAATGTGTGTGTGTGTGTATATATATATATATATATTATATGAAATAAAATATCAAAATTTATAATTACATTATATTAGTATTATTACCGTTGTATAATCACATAATTCATAAATTTATTATTATTATTATTATATAATGCTATATGTAATAATATTACTATTATATAGTGTATGTAGTAATTCTAAACCTAGATATTGTATTTTTCAATATAAATGAGTTATAATTAGTGTAGAACTTATATTAACACATTTAATTAACATATTACACATACATATATGTATGTAAAATGGTACATTTTAAAAGTAGTAATAATAATAGTAATAATAGTTAACAATAATTATAAACTTGCATATTGTATTTTTGTAATATAAAAGTTACAATTAATTTGACAAAATAATATCCAAAGTTTGTAATTCCTGTTATATAATAATAATAATAATAAGAGGACCTATGTAACACACACACACACACATTTTATGTATTTACATTTATATTAATTATGCATATTTTTATAAAGCTAGATAATAATAATAAAAATAGTACCCATATAACACGTATATGATTACATTAAATTATATAAATGTGTATATTATATAAGTAATGTTATATATTATATGTAATAATTTTTGTTTATTTAATTTTTATTGAATTAATTAATTTTTGTTTATTGCTAGATAATAATAATAATAATGTACAGTAATTAATTACTTGTATTGTTTCATAACTCATTTAACTTCCATAATGTGACATTTCAATGTGAACAAGAATATTCAGCAGGATTTGAATGTTGGATCGGGCTTGATTTTGCGTGTTTATTTTTCTTTACAATTACATTAAAATAAATCTTCATTTTGATTTAATGCTCAATATTCTCTGAAACGATGCTGAATTCTTCAGACGATCCTGATGCTGTATTTGGTGTGTTTCCTCAGTGAACGGTGAGAACGAGAGCCGGATACAGAAGGGAAACGGATATTTCCAGGTGCCGCCGCACACTCCGGTGATTTTCGGTGAAGCGGGAGGAAGGACGTTATTCAGGTGTGTGTCCTCTGTTTGATCAGCTCTGTAGACGCTGGTGTTCGCTGATGAAATGACGTCTGTGCTCAGGCTGCTGTGTCGAGACTCCGGTGGAGAAACTGAGTCCATGTTACTCAACGAGACGGTCCCGCAGTGGGTCATCGACATCACCGTGGACGTAAGTGTCCGTAAAGTCCTCTTCAAAGTGATTTACACTTGTTATTTCTGTCATATAAGAGCATTTCTTTCTTTCTCTTACAGAAAAACATGCCCAAATTCAACAAAATCCCGTTCTACCTCCAGCCCCATTCGTCCTCCGGAGCAAAAACATTAAAGAAGTATGTGTGACCTGTGATGTTTCCGTCTGAAGCTTCTTACACAGAGACTGTAGGATGCAACAGTTGGATCTTGGTGTAAAAATCCCTTGATTTTATCTATAGAGAGGTAGATTTATAACAATAATTTAAAGATGGACCTACAGGTTTATATTGGTTTAAAGGCACAGTTCACCCAAAAATGAAAATTGTCATAATTATTTTATTTTTATATATATAAAAAAAATAAATAAAAAAATACTATAGAAGTCAATGGGTACCAGCAACTGTTTGGTTTCCAACATTCTTCAAAATAAGATCATTTTTAAAGATATATTTTGAAGAATGTTGGGAACCAAATGGTTGATGGTAGCCATTGACTTCCATAGTAGTAGTAGTAGTAGTAAAAAAAAAAAAAAACACACACTATGGAAGTCAATGGGTACCAGCAACTGTTTGGTTTCCAACATTATTCAAAATAAGATCATTTTTTAAAATATATTTTGAAGAATGTTGGGAACCAAACGGTTGATGGTAGCCATTGACTTCCATAGTAAAAAAAATAAATAAAAAAATACTATAGAAGTCAATGGGTACCAGCAACTGTTTGGTTTCCAACATTATTCAAAATAAGATCATTTTTAAAGATATATTTGGAAGAATATTGAGAACCAAACATTTGACGGTAGCCAATGGCTTCCATAGTAAAAAAAAAAATATACTATAGAAGTCAATGGCTACCGGCCACTTGGTTCTTCACAACATCTTCAAAATATCTTATTTAGATATATAAATATCTTATTTTTCTTATTATCTTATCCTTAGTAGGGAAAAAAATACTATGGAAGTCAATGGGTACCGTCAACTGTATGGTTTCCAACATTCTTCAAAATATGTTCTTTCATGTTCAACAGAAGATAGAAACTCATACTGGTTTGGAACACCTTAAAGATGACTAAATAATGACAATTTTTTTGGGGGTGAACTGTCCCTTTAAAACTCTTTATTGACGGTTTTATAAATAAATGGCACTGAAAAAGTGGGCGATTGTTTATTTTTATCATCCGTTCATGGCATCTGTTACACAAACAGTAATTTCAACTCATCCCAGAATACGCTTATTGGATGCCGTTGCACATCGACATGCATGGAAATGAACAGTCGTGTGTTTGTAGGGATCGTTTGTCGGCCAGTGACATGTTACAGGTGAGGAAGGTGATGGAGCACGTGTATGAAAAGATCATAAACCTGGACAGCGAGTCGCAGACGGGTGGTTCGGCCGCAGAGAAACCCAGCGAGCAGAAAGAGGAGGAGGACATGGCAGTGCTAGCGGAGGAGAAGATCGAGCTGCTCTGTCAAGACCAGGTATTTCATTAGACGAAGGCAATTGTGTTATTTCAGTCATTTTGTCATACTGTACCTGGTTTCATTTGTTTTTTAACATTAGTTTACTACATTAGAGCACTAACAATGGCCAGTTTATTATCTTTATTTTTAAAAATTATCTTTACAATAGAGTTGCATGTGCAAAATATCATAGTACTGTACTTCTACAATAGAATGTATAATGATTCAATTTACGAGGCTTTCGTAGATTAAATATAAATACAAAAAAAGCAAAATCGGCTTTGACACATTTTTTATGCATCATTTTGTAGATGTAGAATTAAAAAATATTATTGAATTTTATGCAAAAAATGTACATCGCTCCGACCCAAGTTGACAAAAGTGATCTGTCTTTTAACAATTGCTTGTAAATCTCTTATTATGCTATAATATTGGATTCAATCTTTTTATCAAGTTGTTTTCTTTCAATTAGCATGGGTTATTTATTTCTTTTTTTGGAACCGTTTGATCATAGGCCTCATTGATTTGAGCTCATGCACCTCAGTTTTTCAGTGAAAAAAAAAAACATTATTTGTGGGTATTTTTGGCTGAAAAACTGAGGTGCATGAGCTCAGATCAATGAAGCCTATGATCATTTCTGAAGTGTAACAAGGTGTGAATAAAATCCCCAAAAGTACAAAAATGATAAAAAAAATAATTTGAAAGTTGGTAGTCCAGTGCCATAACATTAACTAGCAATTCTGGAGGAAAAATAAATAAATAAACAAAATAAATAAAGAAAATCCTATGTGGGTCAAAATGACCAGAACACAACATGAGTGTTAAACACCTCATGTCATAATTACGACTTCCCAACTATATAAAATATTACCTTTCCAGGATTACTTGAATGCATTATTAGGGATGAAACGATTACCGGTTTGACGATAAATCATGATAAAATTCCCCACTGTTAGTATTGCCGTTTCATATTTTAATTATCATTAAAACCGTATTCGATTGCCGCGATTTGAACAATTGAGGATAAATAAATACTGTCCAGCATAAAGCAGAGTTTTAAGAACAGTCTCGCACAGTAGTTTCGTTTTGTGTGAAAACATGGAGGGAAGCTGGGAGGTTTTAAAGGGAAATATACAAATGAATTAATCATATGAATGTACCTCTGAAGGCTGACTGTCTTCAGAAAAGATTCGATGGCATTGTGTTTTTATCTTCGCTCCATGTAAAACCTAATAAAGTAGTGTTTTGATCGCAACGCTGAGGTTATGAGAAACCGCTGTAATTCTGCTGCTCCAGAAGCGCCACCTGCTGTCAGAGAGTGGATTTACAGAGACTTACATTACACTCAGCTTGTGTGCAGCTTCTGTCTGGACTAAAAACAGAGTTTATATGGAGAAAAATCCTGGAATGTTTTCCTCAAAAAACTTAATTTCTTTGCGACTGAAGAAAGACAGACATTAACATCTTGGAAGACATGGGGGTGAGTAAATTGTCAGGAAATTTTTATTCTGGAAGAGAACTTCTTCTTTAACAATACCGTGATATTACTGATAACCGTGATCATTTAGGTCACTATAATCGTAATAAGAAATTATGAAACTCTAGACATGATGTTGCATTGCTTTCCAAAGGTTCTGGATCCCAACATGGATCTGCGGACGGTGAAGCATTTCATCTGGAAGAGCGGCGGTGATCTGACGCTCCATTATCGGCAGAAATCCACGTGAGGTCCCGGCCCGTCTGAGGAAACTCCATTTGTTACACTTCACATTCAAAGCACACGCTCACCTGCACTTCCCAGTTCTGTCTGACGTCTACATCATCTTCCTCGCACGGGCCGCTCGGCTCACGCATGATTATCAAAGAGCAAATGCGAAGGAGGATCGCTGGAAAACACGCCGATGAATGGCAAAAAGACGTCACATAAAAGTGTTTTTTTGCCATGTTTTCCTCAAAAAACTTAATTTCTTTGCGACTGAAGAAAGACAGACATTAACATCTTGGAAGACATGGGGGTGAGTAAATTGTCAGGAAATTTTTATTCTGGAAGAGAACTTCTTCTTTAACAATACCATGATATTACTGATAACCGTGATCATTTAGGTCACTATAATCGTAATAAGAAATTATGAAACTCTAGAAATGATGTTGCATTGCTTTCCAAAGGTTCTGGATCCCAACATGGATCTGCGGACGGTGAAGCATTTCATCTGGAAGAGCGGCGGCGATCTGACGCTCCATTATCGGCAGAAATCCACGTGAGGTCCCGGCCCGTCTGAGGAAACTCCATTTGTTACACTTCACATTCAAAGCACACGCTCACCTGCACTTCCCAGTTCTGTCTGACGTCTACATCTTCCTCGCACGGGCCGCTCGGCTCACGCATGATTATCAAAGAGCAAATGCGAATGAGGATCGCTGGAAAACATGCCGATGAATGGCAAAAAGACGTCACATAAAAGTGTTTTTTTGCCACCTGTATGGTTTTTTTTTTTTTTTTAAATAACTATGCGGTTGTCGCATGGAAATATCTGCATGAAGATTCTTTTAAAAAATAACAGCCGACTGGTTTCGAACAATATGAGGGTGAACAAATGACGATTTTCATTTTTAGATGAATTATTCCTTCATCCAGATGTTTGCTGCTGAGTGTTATCTTTCCGTCCTGTGCGTGGACGGGAAAATACACTAAAAATAAATAAATATATATGAAAGCTATGAACTATTGAAGGATGACATCACTGGATGGCAAAATTCAGTTCATGTTTTTAATTTATGCAACAACGAAAAAACTGTTCAGCAAACATTTGTCAATCATACAAAGATTTGCACAGTGTTCTAACAACATTATATTCATGTATATACTTAGTCTTAGGTTAAAGACAATTAAGATGATAATTATGATAATACAAAATCATCAGAAACTAAATCGAGAAAGGTTTTAAATCGTCCACATCCCCTGTATTTATGCTTCCCGTGTTGATTGTAATTATAAGCAGTATATTTTGGGTAAATAACAGCTTAATAAATTAACCAAGAACGATCGAGTTTAAATGCACACTTTTTCTTGAGAAGAACCGCAGGATCCGGGCAGGTGATGTTGACACAATCAGATCCTGTTTAACATCCTACTAGTGTTGGTAACCCGATGTTTACCTGCTTTTATTGGAGATTCGACTCTGGACCAGTTTTACAGGCTCATGTGGTTATTAAAGATAAATGACGACTGAAATAAACCGAAATGATTGTTATATGCATTATATCATTCTTTAATGCATTTATGAAACTGCATTTGAAAGCCTTCAGAGGAATCGTTCATCATGATAAAAGAAGAGCTCATTTAATAAACCCAGCCGGTCAGTACTTTTGAAGATATACTCTGATATATTCAGCTAAATGAACCCAAAATATGACATGCATCCTCCATGGGTCAATTATCAGTCCATATATTATTATTATATGTATGTCTCTCATTTTCAGAAGCAGTAAACACTGTCTGCATTTGCATATGTCAATATTTCAGAGGTAAGCATGAGGTGCTTGATCACAAGTGACACTTTTTTTATAATGTAGAATAAATAAGGTTCAATTATACTTCTGTTTACTGTTTACTCTTGCAGCTTCTACGCCAACTATGCATATAATAAAACATGTTTTTAAAAAA